GCAACAAAAACCCTGTTATCAATGAGAAGATACACACACTCCGTGCCCTTCAGAGCACACTTAAGGTAAGACATGCATTTACACACTCATACTAACAACCCAACCCAAACTGTTGTTATTATTATTTCCTACTCGCATCAATCATAATAGATGGACAGTTTAAAATACTACACAACCAGTCAAAAGTTTGGAAAAAATTTACATTAATTGTTAATGTTTTTAAAAGAAGTCTCTTATGCTCACCAAGATTAATTAAATAATTTGAACAAAAATATAGTAAAAACAGTAATATTGTGAAATATTAGTACAATTTAAAAGAACTGTTTTCTATTTTAATATATTTTAAAATCTCATTTTCACATTATCCTTCAGAAATCATGTCGATTTAGTGCTCGAGAAACTTTCTTTATTATTTATGTTGAAACAGATGTGCTTCTTTTTCTTTATGTGAAAACTGTGCTATACTACCATACAAAAAGTTTGGGGAAAGTAAGTTGAAAAGAAAATAAATCAATACTTTTATTATTATTATTATTATTATTATTAAGAATGCGTTAAATTGATTTTTAAAAATTACAGTAAATTATATTTTAAATAAATGCTGTTCTTTTTTAACTTTATAGTCATCAAAGAATTCTGAAAAAATGTATCACAGTTTCCACAAAAATATGTTTTCAACATTGATATAAGATCCATTATTAATCATTGCATACCAAATCAGCATATTAGAAGGATTTCTGAAGGATCATATGACACTGAAGTTTTAAATTGTAATACAGTTTCAAAATATTGCTGCTTGTACTTTGTTTTGATTTTATTTTATTAATTAATGTATTTTTGATCAAATAAATGCAGCCTTGCTGAACATTAGAGACCTCTTTCAAAAACATTAAAAAAAACTTAATTGTTCCAAACTTTTGACTGGTAGTGGATGTAAATACCCAGGTAGAGTAGGTCAGGCACACAGCGGTCTCTTCATTTCTCACTGGCCTGCTGGTGTTTCCTAGGCGAAGGAAGCAGAACTTCACCTGATTAACAAGATCCTGGAGGACTCTGAGTTCTCACCGCAGAAGTACCATCAGTGGAAGCAGTTCAATGAAGAGCTGCTGCAGGACATTGAGAGACAGTACAAACAGACGGTCTCGCCAAGCATAGACACAGTGTCCAAGACCAACAATGGGGCAAGCACACTGAATCTGAGTGATGGAGAACAGTTGGTAGATGCAGAGACACCTGTTGACGGAAGCTCCACTTCTGCAGAGACACAGGTGCCGATGCAAACGCATACCACAGTCACAGACGAAACTACAGAGAAATACTTTTACATATGACACTTGCGCAGATTCTGTGAACACAACCGTTTCCTTCCTGTACTGTATTAAAATATATAACGAAACGAGAAATGAAAGTGCAACACTGGGATAAATATATAGATCCGAACTGCAGCCATCTGGGACAGAGCACTGACTGTTTTACCAGAAGTAAGGTCTATCATCTGGAGTTTTTCAAAACTACTTCTGCTGTTGATTCACAATAAACCATCACTGAATTTATTATGAACTGCATAATGCTGGCAAAAGAACAAATCTAACTTAAAGCACTTGCTAAAGGATGTTGATTATACTGATGTATGTAATTTTAAAAATATATATTTTAGATTAATTATATTAATATGATGAATATTTGTTTTTATGTCAGGTATGTGTGTAAGGTTTCCCTAAATATATAAAAAATATTTTATGAATGTTTCTGGTATGTTCAGACATGATGGACAAGAAAGTATTGCTTTTATAAGAATGTATTCTTTTTATTATGTAGACAATTTATGGCAGTGCAGATCCTGAAAACAAGTTTAGCAGCCTCAAAAACTATATTTCCTGAGGAAAAAAATTATACCTCATTGTGCATAGTTTGTATTAAATGCCCAGCTATGGTCATTTCCCCAGAATTGCCACACAGTGGCGCCCTGTGTTTTGGTCATGTTTTGGTCACACTCCAGTCACCTGTTCATTTGAGTCTTTCAGTGTTTTTATACCAACAGTGTATAATCATGCATATAATGGCTGTATTTATATATATATATATATATATATATTATATATGACCCTGGACCACAAAACCAGTCTTAAGTCGCTGGGGTATATTTTTAGCAATAGCAAAAAAAAAACCCTATTCAAGTTACAGTTATATAATGAATATGAGTATTCTCATCAAAATTGGAGGAAAGGTTTAGGAATTACAGCTCTTTAAAGGGGTCATATGATGTTGCTAAAATTTTTTGTGTATTTGGTGTAATGAGATTATGCGGTTTAAGGTTCAAAAAACGCATTATTTTCCACATACTGTACATTATTGTTTCTCCTCTATGCCCCGCCTTTCTGAAACGCGTAGATTTTTAGAAAGCTCATCGATTTGAAAAGCGAGGTGTGCTCTGATTGGCCAGCTATCCAGTGTGTTGTGATTGGCCGAATACCTCAAGCGTGTGACGGAAATGTTACGCCCCTCACCATACTGTGATGCCCTGTCCGGCCGGAGCATTGAGACAAAAACATTAAAACCCATTATAAACAAGGCATTTGTTACATCCAGTGGGGACTTAATTACGGATTATAACGATTTATACTGTCTTTTTACGAGACAGGGAGGCCGGGGGCTAGAGTGAGCGGAGGCCGGGGGCTAGAGTGAGCGGAGGCCTGCGGGCTAGAGTGAGCGAAGGCTGGGGGCTAGAGTGAGCGAAGGCCGGGGGCTAGAGTGAGGGGAGGCCGGGGGCTAGAGTGAGGGGAGGCCTGCAGGCTAGAGTGAGCGGAGGCCGGGGGCTAGAGTGAGGGGAGGCCTGCGGGCTAGAGTGAGCGGAGGCTGGCTTGAGTGAGCGGAGGCGGGCTTGCGGCAACCACATGTGACGATCCCGGGCTGGACTCCGCTTCGTCCACGGTGAAAGCCGATCCGGCGATTCACAGCACGAAGTTGATGTATTTCCTCAGCGACCAACACGGATCAGCTCCAGGCATGACGAAGCGGATATCATCCTCTTTTGGAAGGCCAAACAAAGTAGTTTCGCTTTCACAACGAAACACACAGCGCCTGGCAGCAGCGGCAAAAACAATACTACAGCGAGAATAAAAGTTACGCCTTAATTCTTTGGTTATGCAAATCTTCGCACATCGTGACGTAGACATGTGGGGGGGGGGCATGTTAGAATGAGCCGTTTTAGGTAAGCATGGTTGACTCTTAACTTTTATAAAGAATATCTCTTTGGATTTGAGACTTTAGTCTTTGCAACTTTACAGATCTTCTTTATGCACCAAGAGCTTGTAACACTCCAAACAGAAAGGAAAAATTGAAATCGCATCATATGACCCCTTTAAAGGTGATTTTCTCAATATTTTGATTTGTTTGCACCCTCAGATTCCAGATTCTCAAATAGTTGTATCTCGACCAAATATTGTCCTATCCTAACAAACCATACATTAATGGAAAGCTTATTTATTCAGCTTTCAGATGATGTATAAATCTAAATTTCAAAAAATTTACCCTTATGACTGGTTTTGTGGTCCAGGGTCACATATTTGCATCTGAAGCTTTATTTTAAATGTCACCGGCCAAATTTTTATTTTGTTTATCCAAGACAAAAGCAAGTTATAAAAACAGACATTTTTGTCCTAGACTGATAAACTCATCTCTATAAAGAGAGCAGTGAGTGTTAAAAGACTTGTGTGTTTTTGTGTCTTCATGCTCCTGTAGTGTAGAGAAAGGAAAAGGTCCCAAAATGTAATAATCATTTATTGGATGTTGCTGTTAATTTTTGTTTATATACACAAAAGTGTAAACAGAGATATGAAAAATAGAAACATGAGATTTGAATTATATTTGTCATTTTCCTTGTTTATAAAAAAGTGTACAATTACTATATGTTTATGCAGAGCCAAAGCCAATCTCACCACACCTGTTCCGATTTCAGTGGTTTTCAGTTTTGGTGTATTTTTTAGTGTAAAATTTTATCAGATTGTCTAAACCAGTCAAGTAAAATATTTGATTGGGGGGGGGGGGGGGTTTTCTCCTAACCCTAACCCAAACAAGTTGTTTGGCGTAAAATCATTATTAGTTAGCAAAACAAGCCAATAGATAATTTGAGCAGGTTTGGTGACTGAAATATTACAGGCAGTCATTTCACATGACATAGGCAGCAGGAAAAACATTTAATCAGTAGCCTACCACATATAGAATCACTGTCAATAGCTACACATAGGCTATTTGCAACGTAAAGATTTATCAAGTACAGATAGTAAATAATTACAGATCAATATATTACAAATAAACACTGTTGTTTACCAGCCATAAGGCTTGAGCGAAATGACACATGACACATATTTCACGCACTAGCAGGAAAAGCCCAAAATGCCAACAGCCTAGTGACACTAGCAATTGCTTTCATTTTACAACAGGTTTTGGAAAGAATATTACAGTACTGTCATGATAATGAACAAAAATCTGCATCTTTGCATTTAAATGAGGCGTGTCGCATGGGAATAAAAAGGAATGCAATGTCTCGAGTCGTGTTTTTAAAAGTTGACAAAACTTAAAAACGCAGCTCCTATTCGTAAAACAGTATAAAAAAATTATAAAGCGCATGCAAAAACACGTTCTGTGTGAGCCGACCTCCCATTCACACCAAGGACGATAATTATTCAAAGTTATGATTTGTTGGTATGGACAGTTATCTTTTATAGTATGGTTTTTGGTGTGAACAGGCCTTAAAGGGATACTCCACCCCAAATTAAAATTTGACAATTTTCATTTTGGGGTGGAGTATCCTTTTAAGGCTTCAGTTAGCGGTTTCATACATATTTTAATATAGTTCTCTTTAGAAACATTGCATACTGTTTCCCATTTCTTATTTGTCCAATTCATAAACAATACCAGTGCACTACAATGAGTCATGTGCAAGCTCAATGTGTTTAAACACCATGAGTCTCTTGAGCTCTTGGGAACGTTTGGTCCATCTAACAATTCACCTCATACATCTCTGCACTATCTTTGAGTCTCTGCTTGTGGCAGGATGAACACTTCATGCTTTTGAACCCAAAGAGCAGCGCGGCCCCTCCCAGAACCTGTACCCAAGCTCCCACCCACCCGAAATAGAGCGACCCGGCCGGGTGTAACGTTAGTCGAGGTGGCTTGTGTACGTTGAGCCCTTGTGTCTCTGATATGGTTGAATCTACCTCGATCCCCAGCTTCGAAATATTATGGGTGTACACTCCTAATGCAGCCAGACTGAGCACACCCGCCAGCGCCACCAATAGGCCACCAGCTGCCGCTACACTCCTAAGAGGGATATCGGTCCAGCAGCGGACGCCCACGCTGGCAAGGACAATCCCCGCGCCACACAGGAAAAGAGACGACAGCACCATCCCCTGGACCATTCGAACCCGAGCATCCTGCTGGTAGGACCCAGACACGGGCCAGCACTCTTTGACTTCAGAGTGCACCACCTGCAAGCAACTTTCCCACAGGCCGTCCGAACGGAGAAGGAGGAGCTCCGTTGCTCCACCACGCCCTGCCGCACCCAGCCGCGCCTGTCCCTCCCTCCACTGCGGCGTGATCGCTGCAGTGAACACCAGCACAAGGCCCAAGGGAGCAAACACCACCCCCATCAGCATGGATGCTGGAGTGTGCATCACGTCTTTGTCGATGTGCAGCTCTTCAGGATGATGCTAAGCTAGAAACCACCGGCAAAGACCTGGTGAAAAGAATATAATTTCAGTTATACTTGATCTACTCGCATCAGATTCAAGAAGATTCTTTCATTTAAATCTCCTCAGACACCCGTTGGCAGAAGTGCATTCCTGGTTTCACAGTCTGTTAGATCTAAAAGAGAAAGAGTGCATATATGAATGTCTTGTTAGCCGATGACTCTCTCTTTTGAGCTCTAAGAAACATCGTCAGTCCTGGCAACCAGCACAGTGGAGGTAAATGGCCCACTGTTGCTAAGAGACAGTAACCTGGACGATCCTACGGTTGCATGTTTTGTGTTACATCTGAAATGGTTCTAGCACTATCAGCCACAGGTGCTAGTCTCTGAACATCATTTTCTGACGCAAATGTGTGGTTGTGTTATCGCTGATAGTGTGAACTGGATACATTTTGAAACAGTCTTACGGATATATACGTAAACAGGAAGCCAGATGTCTGGGAGCTGAGAGAGCGAGCTGATGTCTGTTCCATGAGACAAGGACAAAAGAGACTCTGCGAATGATGTGATGCTATAAAAAGCAGCTATTTTTAATGCATGAACCCTCACAGACACCCAATATTTTTTTAACAAGTCTGTGGAGTATTTTCATCATCTCATTGGTTGTTAACCGGACTCTTGACAACATCACATTCAAAGGTATCTGTGAGAGGGGTGTGGGTGTACGTTTCAACAGTTTGGTCAATCTGCATGCTCTTAATGTCAAGTCTATCAGGATGCTATAAAAAGCACCTATTTTTAATGCATGAACCCTCACAGACACCCAATATTTTTTTAACAAGTCTGTGGAGTATTTTCATCATCTCATTGGTTGTTAACCGGACTCTTGACAACATCACATTCAAAGGTATCTGTGAGAGGGGTGTGGGTGTACGTTTCAACAGTTTGGTCAATCTGCATGCTCTTAATGTCAAGTCTATCATCACAAATTTCCTGTTCCAGTCACTTTTGTTGCATGGCAACCCAAAAACAAACATTTAAAAGGGTGCACTGGTACCTGTACATTAATGAAAACAACAGAATTTGCCACACCAACAAAATGTGGCTGCTCACACTGTGACAGCCTTGTCTTCAAACCACACTAGTTATTAAATATCTGGAAAAACAGCATGACAGTGTGATCGGAACCACAGCAGTCAAGCTTTGTTTTTTCCGATTTAAAAACACAAAAGATAAAAAGTTCATTCCATCTTGAGAAGGATCAACAGGATGAGGCATATGCAAACTAGCCACAACAGACCCCACAGACAAAAAGCAAAGATGCAAGATGCAAGATGCATTGTCCTGCTCTCCTGACCTGGTTTTTGCATTCACCCAGAGATGTTACAGTCATCTGCTTCACTAATTGAATCACACATAACAGAGATGTGATACACTCACCTCTCTGCAGAAGAATGAATGATCATTCAGCTGTTCTCTTTGTTAAGTCTGAGATGGATTCTTCTGCTTTCTGTCTTTTCTCTATCCCTCACTCTCTGATTCTCACCTAGTCTTGTGTATGAGGCTTTCGATACACCCCCCGTCCTTCTTTCAAACAGACACACACACACACACACACACAGAACAAACAGCAAGTCCGACGTGTGCTGACTGTAATATGCAGACTGTCTGCTGAACCAGGCGATCTGATGAAAGAAAAAGAAGATGAATTTAAAAAGCCAGCCTACTATCATAATCATATGTATTAATCTTGGCCATATAGACACATACATATTTATTAAATCCCAAAAGAAATATGTCAATCAGTAGATGTACATGAGCTTTGACCTCCAAACATTAGCTGCACAAATATACTAACTCCTGAACACACATGTAGATACTCCTTATGTATTTGATACTCTTTGATCTTTATTATGAATATAAAACCTAAATGTAAATAAAGGTCCTGTGGTGATGGTAACACACTGAAGATTTTTGTATTATAGTATTATAGAAGAAAAAGTGCATTTGTTCTTTTAGCTAGTTTTTTTTTTTTTTATAAAATATTAATATATTTTATTTTATTGCCTTTGTCCATATACTTACATTGATTAGGCGTACTGATTTCATTGCATTACCACAAGGCTTATGGTAAACATGAGGAAAAATTTGAACAAAGACATGTCTGTGAAGTATAGGTTGAGATGCCCTCTTAAGAACAATGTGCATTTATGTTTAACATACGTTAAACATATTTAGATTTAAGTTTAGCATGGGCATGATGGTGATGCTAATTTGCTAATTTAGATATCATAACACAAAATGTGGGGTAAAATGGTCACCTATAGGACAAGAAGACAGAATAAATGCCTTTTGATTTGATGCCTTTTGCCTTATTTATTTACATTTAAGTAAAATACTACATTAAAATTTTATACAGCTTAGTTATATAATTAATGTATATAACCAGTGACAAACAGAATCCCAATAAAAGAGATGCATCTGAAAGGTAAATTTATTTGAAAATATAGCAATATCTAAAAGGTAATACACTATAAATTAAAATTGACTGATTTCACTCAGTTAGCCTATAGGTTGAAGTACATATCGAAGATGTCTTAAATGCATCTAACTCATGAAATTATTAAATAATAACTCCATGAATTATAATAAGTATTTTTTTAAATAATAGGCCCTAACACTGGGTAACCCTAACCCTAAATAATAGGCCCTAACCCTAACCCTAACATGCCACTTAGGTCATTCTGACTCAAAAAGCAATGTTTCTTTTACTCCAAAAATGTACAAACATCAATGTGTCCACAAATCTCTCATTAACAAATATACACTGAAACTTCTGATATTCAACATAAAACAATGTCATAGATCACTATTTTCCAGAGGCACAAAATCAGGCAAATTAGGTGTAAAACTGTTTTGACTGACTAAATCTCTAAATATCTCTGATATTCAAATGAAATTACAACAATAGGAGATTTTGAGATGAGATTGTGCCATTTATAGTCAAGAGACAAAATTAAATTACGCGAATTATAAACAAACTATATTTTTTTGCTTTCTTGTGTACAGAAAGAGCAGCCTATGACTGTATAAAAATATTGACCCATTGACACGGAATCAATTCGATGTGTCATGTTCAGTAGCGGCTCTGACGGTTTCAGTGTGTTTATTCAATGAAGGATTCATCAGACTGATTTAAACATAACTCTTTTGTCGTTGAGGCAATTCGTTAAAAGATTCATAAGAGTCAAGTATCAGAGCACAGGCTGCGCTGTATGTTTGTTTGTGTGCGACGTAATTGCGACCCACACCGTTTAACAGCGGTAGCTGTAAATGATTTCAGCAAGGAAATGTCTTCCATCGACAAAACACTTAATGTTATAGATTTTGGATTTTATTTTCCATATAAAAACAGGCAGTAAAAAAAGGAAAACACGCTTTAATACATCAATATTGTTTGAAAGCAATACAAAGCATTTGAAATGTAAAAAGTTTTGTGAAGCAAAATCCACAAAATGAAAAGTCACCGTTATTTAATCGGATATTTGGGTAAGTTCGATATTGCAGTGGTTCGTCCGAACTTTTAAATGTCGGAGGATAAAAGGGCCGGTTGTCCTGACAACCGTTACAGCCACACAGATTGGAAATGTGTGGAGCCAGTTTTCAAAATGTGGTGATCGAAACACTGACAGATACGCGGCTCTTTAGGGGTGGAAATGTGCGACTTAAAGGTCTAAAACACTCGTGTGTGTTTGTGGAGCGTTTCAGATGTGAAACTAAAAGGCTGAAAGACACAGCACCCTGACTGGAAGTATGCTGAAGTAACACGCGGCAAGATTAATAAACATGCAAACCACCATCAGAGCATAAAGCGATACAAACGCCTCAGATCCTGTCCTAGAAATGATGGGCCTATTATAAGCAGCAAAGAGGCAGCATCAAAAAAAGGTATGTTTATCTTTGAAATAATAACATATAACTCTTTTAAAATCATGTCAACACACAACATTATGATAATTGTCTATTTACAATTTATATTTACAGAAAATGTACCTTGTTGATCATAATTGCTCATGTTATAAAATTATTGTAGATAAAAAAAATTTTTTTTAAAAAGGTACAAAAGTGGAAAATTTTATTTACACTGTTCATTATTGATATGTCTAGCTAAAACTGAAAATGTGAGCTGGCAGGTGAGCTGTTTATATAGCGACGGTTCTGGCACTGCAGAATCTGGTTCATAGTCATGCTTTTGGATCAAAAGAGCAGAAAGAAGCTGCCAGCAGCACCAGGTGTAGTGTCACTAGTTGATAATGTCATTTATAGCTCCATAAGTGTGATCTGGAAGTGGTTGATCATGACTTCAGTGATCTCGATGAGGAAGGCAGAGTGGTTGCTGTAATGCGCGATGATGTTATCATCCATGTTCACAAAGATCCTGTTGATGGTAAGAAAAAGAGAATAAGTTATAGAAATTCTTGTTAAAATTCTTGCCCATACTTTATATTTACACATTGTGCTGATAACCAAAAAATTGGCGATATTAAAATTAAGCTATTTGAATCAATTAAAAATAATAAAACTCTAAATATTAAAAGCATTTTAAATTCTATAAGTAAAATTAGGCATCACAACATTATAATGTACTGTATGAAAAATGGATATTCATTTTGAGATTTGCTAAAGATTTTTAAATATTATTAAAGATGAAAGATTTTTAAATATTATTAAAGAAACATTTTAAAATTATTATTAAACATTAATTTTAAGTGTGCATAAGATTACAGCAAAGGTAATGTAAATGTAAAAGTATGGGAAATGAGCATGCAAGATTAGGTATATTATAAACACCAAACCATTATATGTACCATTATATCACGTATCTATAGAACCAAACACACACAAACTCCAAAGTTAAAGATTATCTCTAAAGTTGCTTCTCATCTGAACAAAAACCATACCGCTTTAATTCGACACCTGGTCATT